ATGATCGTTCATAGTAAACATATTAACATTATTTGTAATCATCGTAGCGGAAGTCTTATAGTAAACCTGCTTCCATAGTTCTAATTTAAAGATTAAATTCTTGAACTAATTTCTCCAAGTCCTTTATTCGGCTCCCATATATCTCTAATTGAGCCAGGACTTCGTCTCCTCCTATCCCAAGCGCTAGACTACTCTCTAAGTTCTTAACACTGGTAAGACTAATAAAACTTCCTCTAGTAATAATATATATATCATTAATATCATTAGAGGATAAAAATATGTGTAAAGATTCAGCAATTTTTGCTGCTTCTTCGAATCTATTTATATTATTGTTAATTTCGAAATCGAAAAATGATTCCGCGTCTATATTGAAAATATCTATGTCTACACCTTCAGTCTCTAGGCCGCCACAGAGACTTTTTCGTGATGGTGTAGATGTGTTGGAAAGCCTTGACTTCCCAATTCTCCGTGCTAAGGAGTTCGACAAACTGTTCGGGGGCAAGTAAGAATCCATTGATTTGCATCTCGTGTTGGGGTTTGATTAAAGTGTTTGGGTAAGAGAGTTGTTTCGCAGTTGCTGTTGAAGTATTATTGCTTGCTTGAGTCGCTTGCTTTAATATTTCACTGCTGTGAAGATGAGGTCGAGAGTTGGGGTAAACGGCGTTTATATAACTTTCAGATATTGAAAACGTTACATTACACCAATTTCCGTGATATGAACTGCCATGATTCACGAACGATTGTTCTCATTAATTTGTGCAATAAGATTAGAATCGAACGTTCTTCCATCGCTCATATGCCAAGAGTTTTGTAGATTTCGGGGAAACGCGTCCGCAAAGGGCTCGAGTTTTCATTCCTTGCGTCTTTCGTGCCATATACCTGAATTTCGCCCCTATACATAAAAAATTATTTTAAATTTTTTCTATTATTCCGTTATGAGACAAATACGCCATAACTTACCATGCATCCTTAACTACGTTACGTTGAAGAATAGAGCGAAAAGTGGGAAGGCAGAAATCATTTTCAATTCTTCCTCGGTCATGGAGTCATTAAACGAGTCCATATTTTCTTTCTTTATGATAAAAAGAAGTAAGACGTCTCGTTAAACAATTTTAGAGAATATTGCGCAGACACTTATAATAACCAATACTTACATAAATTGGATGTTTGTGTGAAGTTTTTTTATGTCCTTTATTTGATGAATTTCTTCACAGTTCTTATTAAAATATTCTTGAAGATAATTCGATGCCGACTTTGGATCCCAAGAAATAGTATTTGAAAAGTCTTGTGAATATCTTTCTCTGAAAATTCTTTGCATCCATTCAGACTCTCTCGAATTAGATCCAATATACCCCAATATGCTAGTCTAATAGATGATCAATAAGATATAAGTACAAAGACCAGATCGATATCATATGTTAAATCAGTAAAAACTTACGTAGTAACTCGACGGCACTTTGGGATACTCTTTTGATATTTTTTAAACATGGTTAATAAGTCGCTACCGTTTGACAGTTTGTATTCGGATATATTATCAGATATTTTTGAGATCGGTAGCCTCGTTTCACTTATTAACCTGCTTTCATCGATGCTTTCTATAAGGGAGTCTTCATTTTTTTCATCAAACAATATACTGCTACATTCTTCCTCTTCTTCACAATCTTTCCTTTTATTCGATGTTTTGTTCTGAATGTATATAAAAACGAAGTAGTTAGATATATCGAATTATTGATTAAAAGTGAATGTCCCACTTTTTTTGAAGAGAAACTCATATTCGCACCTTTTCATCACCTTCCCTTTGGTTGTCTAATTCATCTCGTTCTTCCTGGGGAACTTCCTCGTGATCATTTGCATTTTGTGTGAATTCATCATTCAAATTATGCCTTTTTCTTGTCGATGTTTGAACATGAGGCCTCATTTTCAAAAGTTTCCAGCTGTCTGGTAAGTGTAGTCCGTACAGCTTGATCTCGAACGACTGCTGTTCTTATAACCTCATTATGTTGCTCGGCCTATAAAGGAACGAAGAAAAGAAGTAAATGCCGCACATGTATATTTCGTTACATAAATAAATCTAGAGATTACCATTAGGATATCACGTTCGAAATTCAGCTCTTGCATCCTGCTATATTTCTTGTCCATTCCTAGGCAATATATATTTTCAGAAAATGGAATGTTTAGCAATTTGCGGTCGATTTTGTCTTTAATTAAATGTTCGCTGCTAGTGTCAATAGCAATAATAATAACGTTGTTTTCATGCTAAATCAAAAAATCAGGATAAAAGTTTCTCGTTTGAGGGAGAATGTCGAACCAAGAGTTCATCACCGATCGACCAAGAGTGGAACGGCTTTGCAGGAACCAAGAGTTCATAACCAAACAACCAAGAGTTGTTCAGCTTCTGCCAAGTTAGAGTAGGTACGAACCAAGAGTTCATCACCGATCGACCAAGAGTGTACAGCTTGACCTACTCTAACCTTCTCCCTTTTCACTGGTTTTTTTTTCCCACGTAAACATACCTTCCAGTTGACGATTATAGACTCTGCTTTTTCTCTACATTTTGCATCAGAGCCATGTTTTGCAATTCGTTTGAGATCTTTATTGATCGAATCGAGTGCTTGCTTGAGAGTAAGCTGTGAATCATTTTCTTTATAATGATTTAAGACATTCTCGCATGTCCATTGACCGACGTTTTTTTTTTTTCAAGAAAATCCATACTGCATTAAAGAAAAGGAGTTATTTTACATATGTATACAGTTTACGCGTCGCGAGCTGGTATATATGCTAGTAGAGAACCGTGACCTTAAGCCACACAAGCCACATGACTAACGTTACCACTAAAATAACGGACACATGATGAAATAAATCACGTGTCCGTAAAAAGTCTAATAATAATAATAAACGAACGAACGTGGTCTTACTAATGTAAGATACCTGGAAGAATGAGTTTTACATGTATTAATTCGAAAAGTGAAACTGAAATTAAAACTCAATATCAAGCAACCGTCGAATAGCCATTAATTATTGGCAATTGAACTGTCCAAGTCTTGCAGAATCCGTTAATTATTGTGGCAGATTAAAATGACATTGGATTAAAACGACTCGGGAATGAAATTTAGGGACCATTTAAAATGTAGCACAAAATTTGATCATTTATTCATTCACGTGAAACACAGATTTATTTAGTTAATTAAGTAACTTCTTTATTATACAGTTTAGACACGTTTTTCATGATCATGGTAATAGATAGTTGTGAAAATTGTGAAAAAAAGTCATAAGTATCAGCATTTACGATTACAACGTGCATTTTGCAGAGTAAGATTTTGTACGTTACCAGAACGCCTACATACAATAATGTTATGTCACATAATAGAATGTTCACTTTGTCTGGTTTTGTTGCATGCCCCATTTGAGGGTGAAAATATTATGCTTGCAGATGATGGACGAGTAAAAATAGTAGATTTTGATTGGGCTGGATTAGCAGGTCAGACTTTGTATTTTATGATTAATGGCACATTAATGCTCGGCCAACTAAACTTATACAGGCTAAACATGATGCATATCTGCTTGATAGCTATTTTATTTGAGAGATTGATTATATTACAGTATATGGGCTTAACATGTACTGTACAATCAGTGATTTAAAAATTAGCTAAAAAATTGATTACAAAGTCTTGTGTCCATACTTAAATGATGGACTGATTAGCACTTTTACCCTAAAAACATATTACAAAAATTAATAATAATAAAGCAATTAAGCAGTATTAGGATGGCATTGCTGAATAATAGCAAAAACCCGTTAGTGATGTTACTACAAATTTTCTTTGCTGACATTTATTACTTGCTCTGCACATGGCAAGGTTAAAAGAACTGAAAGAAAGGCAAAATTTTAAAATGTTAAACCCCTGCCAAAATATCCCACAATTGATAAAATTTATATACAGTATTACCCATATATGGAAACTTATGATGGTTCGACTGAATACGAAAAGCAATACGTTTCTTGGAGGTAGGGTCGTTCGAAAATGATTCTGAGAGAAAAGTTTGCCGAATTACGTGAGGCATTACAAACTCTCTCTAGACCTGAACAAGATATTTTCTTAATGTCCAGCTAAAAGCAATAAATAGTGGAAAAATAACCGCCAGCCGACGTCTTAAAAGAAAACGCGTGATAATAAGAGAACGTTTTATTATTGAGATCGCAATACGCCGCTCTGTCAGAAAACGTATCTTAATGTGTTAGGAATCTGTCGCACTCATTTCGAAAGCATTAGAAATTATCTGGCAACTAATGGCATAATACCGCGCGTTCACGGTAACGTAAAAAAAATGCCGCGATGGAAAATTGAAATAACCATTGATATAACTGTTGCTACCGCCGTAAAGAATTTTCTCAAAAATTATGCTAAAATTCATGGGTTACCAAGTCCAGGTACCAGTCTTCATCCGAAAAAGACCTTCAAAGACATCCTCTTTTTTGGTTTTCTCAAAAAATTTTTTACTTTTTTCAAATGTTAATCGCATTACTCAATCCAGTCAGAGAGATTTCCCAATTTGGTGATGTAGATCATTCTTTTTATGGCAGTGAAAAAATTTCCGGAAATCTTGGT